CTTCTGTGGCCCTTTTTCACCATCTCAGACTGACTCTGTACACAAGTACTCCTCTGATTTTTAAATTTTAGAGTCTGCAGAAATCCTTAGTGTAAATAAATACATTCTTATCCAGGACTTACCAGTATGAGAGGCATCTGGTACTCAGCCTTAGTGGCTGGATTGGGCACCCACATTCTCTAGGAGGCAAAGATGGAAATGCCTGGTGGCCCTCACCGCAATTTCTGAGTTCCCAATCTCTGAGTCAGAAAGGCAGTGGCCCTACATGGTCATCACACTAGCACCATCATCTTGGCCCTTCACCAAGCATCCGTGAGGGAGGGAGGAGAAAACTCCAAAGAGCCTGCTTCTCTGGGGCACTGCAACTGTGAAGGTCTTTGCTGAAGACTCCAAATTGCCCCACTTTCTGCAGCAAAGCCTGCCCGTGTTGTCTGGGCAACAGCCCTTGCTGGTCTGAGTCCTGTCGAATAAAAGATTTGCTAAGAGTTTATATCTACAAAGCCTTGGATTGCCCTGTTCAGAAAGCGAGGTGGAAGATGAAGAGTAACAGAGAACTGTTAGATCTTAGCCCTTTAATTGGTTTTTTGATCATGGTTTGCTTATGGTGGCGCTTTGCTGGTCTAGATAGCTCTGGTGGGTGTCCCAGGGACTTTTGTGGACAATTTCAGAGCTGTGCATAAGGCAGTGTTTTACATCTAGCTCCCTGCTCCCAGCATGGTTCTTGGTGATGGAGACTTCTGTAAATCTTTAATGGCCTTTGAGAAGTACATGTGAGCGAGCACATTTCCTTTTGCATACGTGACACAACATCAAACCTATCACAATAAATATGTATTTTATACATTGGGAAGCAGGGTAACCTTTTGCAGTGATTCTAAAACTGGGAGGATGAGTGGAAAAAAAGGGGGGAGAGCACACCACCCCTAGCGATGCAGGGCATCAAAAGGCTGAGGATAATTCCATGCCCACCCAGCTGCTGGGAGAGGGCAGAAGCTGATGGGACCGTCAGATATGTGCCCCACTTATCATACCCCCCCTTTCCATCTCAAAGAATGGAGTTCATTACAGTGTGTGGTCCCGGCTCCTGACTGGTCCCCAGGGCAGGAATAGCTGGGACTGTCTAGAAATCTCTTTGGCTCATCCTGGGAGTCTGAGCCTACCAGATGCTCTGTAAAGCCCCATTTCCTAGTTCCTTCCTACATATAAGTCCCCCACTGCCAAGGAGGCCTGGCAACAGTGACTCAGCAGACACACTGCATGGCCTACACCACTCATGTCACCCTGAGGGTCTAGCGACATGCTGTGTTTGTGTGGGAGGGGACTAAGGAGGAGTGCATCAAACCAGACAAAGGGTGTGCAATGTGTGCAATGAGCATATGAAAAAAAGATTAAGAGCCACACATCTGCTAGAATTGCCTCTTCTTCGGATTTTCTTTCCATGTATCATATGGGAGCAAACGCTTATAAGTTGCTTGCTTTCTACACTTTGCACTGCTTACAATAAGGAAAGAGAAAGGAAATTTAATGAATACTCTGGGACCTGACTCCAAACTTTTACAGCCTAAATAACAGATAAAATAACTAGAAAGGACAAAACAATGAATAGAAATACATTTTTCTAGTTTGGGTGAAAGGTACAAATGAAGAATATGCTCTGAAGTCTATGTAGAATTAGAACAGCGTGAGCTTTGGAAACTAATACTGCCTTCTCCTCAGAGCACAGAGCTGCGGATAAGTTTCCCAGGTCTGTTCCATCTCAAACTAATCAAGAGAGATGGTTCCTCTGAGTGAGGGGTTGGAATCAAGTAAGGGCTCACAGTTTTAGCAAAGATATCTAAAAAGTAGTTTGTGAATCTCTGCAAAAGATTACCCTGATTCTCAATGCACAAAGGTTTCAAAGAGGCAAGATATTTAGAAAAAGTGACTGGATTTGGGGGAGTGGGAAATATGCTTTTTATCTCTAAAAAAAATCCATCACTCTAAAATGATCCAAGATCTTAATCAAAGGCATCTCACCATTGTGTTTGTAGGCATTAACGTCTGAACAGGAGATGGAAGCTGTTTGAGCAGGAGAAAAAAGCTGACCTGCTGTTCAAAGAGTAGCTCATAACCAGGTTGGCCAATTTTCAAAAGAGAACGGTCTAGGACTACTGTGTGAGACTGTGCAGTTCTCACTGTGTAATAGCAATTTTGCTTTGTGCACTCCTTTGCTTGTGAGGATCAAAGCTAAATTTCTGTCAGCCTTCTAAAATAGACCTTCTAGTATGGGACACCTTTACTTTGTTTTTTGGATGTTTGTTTGTTCCTTTGTTATACTGTGATAGAATAATTAAATCCTCTATCTTCTGTCAAAGCTATGGGCAGGGCAGCTCAAGTTATTCAATATTAGTTCAGAAAAAAACTGTATGCTGTAGAAATGGTACTTTTTTTTTAGGTACTTGTGTTAAATAAGTCTATTATTTCAAACCAGATCATTTACCTAATTTTTCTGCTTAGAACAGGGTACTATAAAAGGCTTAATTTAAACAAAACTAAGCCAATAAATCCCCAGTGAAATACCAGACCTCCTCCCAGGAGAATGCTTAATGTCATCCTGGTCTAATCTAATTTTGAAATAGTTTAATATTATTTAGGCCCTGAGCAAGCTGGAAATAACAGCATTTTTGGAGGCCCTGGACAATGTTATTCAATCTGTGCAGCCTCCTCCAGGGAGGAACTTTAGTAAGCTGACAGTTTTAGTCCTTTAAATCTCATCCTATAGTCAGGAAGGAGAGATAACCCTTGTCTGTGGCTCTCAAGGAATCCACCGATGTGCTTGCTCTCACACAGGGCCGTGCAGGGAGGGCTCAGCCAACAGGCTGCTTATAAGCAATCCCTCTTCAGCAGCTGGCAAAGAGTGGGAGGTCTGTGGGAGAGGTGAGATCTCAGTGCAGCACATCCACAGCAGGAATTCATAATGACATTGTAGCTGGAGCACCCTCAGATAAAATGTGGTGTGAGAGCCCAAGAGGAGAGTGTTTCAGATGTCGTCTCCTCCTTCTCGTCAGAGAAGGGGAAGAGGAAAGAAAGAAGTAGGAGAGGAAGTAAAGCCCGGAGACTGATGTGCCTGTCACAAGGAACCCTTGTCTTTCAAAGTGGCATGAATGGTATTTTGTTTGGTATTGCTATGAGTAATAGAGAAGAAGGACAAGAGAAGTGGTTGGGATGAGAAAGAAGTGTCTATCACGCTGTAACTTTTGCTTTGCCTTGCCCCTTCAGTGTAGCCTGTTTGACGTATGGTTTGTGACTTTTCTGTTCACACAGCCAATGCCTGGCACACTGTGATTAGAAATGTGATTGCTTTGGATCAGCTTGTCACATTGGAATGGGACTTCCTTTGCATCACAGCTCCTGCCCTTAGCACTATGTGCAAAAAGTCAGTTCCCTACATGCTAAATGGTGGCTCCTTAAATAGAAAATATATTTCCTTATGGAAACAGCTGGACTTCAGTTTCATCATTTTGGTGAAAGAGAATGGTTAAATCCTCCAAAAAGGTACCTCAATATTTTCAAGGAACTTGGGAATACAGTGTCAAGGAATTGAAGTCTCCCCTCATATATGCCCTTACTGGCATTGTAATGAAGAAGTCCCCACAGAGCCACTTGAATTCAGTGGCCCTGAGCACCTAACACTTAACATTCCAGGGTCCAAACCTGGCACAGTGGGCACCCTCTATCATTTGGTAAAGTCATGAGCAAGTACCTTTATTGTTCTGGATCTTTTCCATCCGTAAAAATTTCTGTAAGAAACAGGGGGAACCCCTCCATGGAGCAGTTTTATTTGGCCCAGTCTAAGAAAGACTCAATTTAAACATGAATCAGAAAAGGAGGAAGACTATAAAATATGCCTTTGGGGAGCCTATGACCTTATGTTTAGACAAGTCACACCAATTTACATCAATTCAATTAAGCTGGTGTTGTTTTTCCTGTGTAGACACAGCACAGGGATCCTAGTTTAGGTGAAACCTACAGATTCACACGAAGCAAACATAACAGCTTATAGACCCTGCTCCCACCTCATTCCAGGTAGACGCAGGTATAATGTTATTACTCTCAGTAGTATTACTCCCAGTTTACTCTGGGGTGAAGCAAGGCCCTGTTTCTTACAGACTGCACTTTTTTGTAATAGGGTGAGAACTATTCTGGATTTTCTCTTTTTCACATAACGCTGCATGGTGAAGAAACATCGTCCTGCAAAGCAAATCAACACATTTTTAAAGTCTCTAATTTAAAATTTATTTGTGTTATATTACTTTTGCTTTTACAGCAATATTATTCCTTGGGTTAAAAAAAAAAAGGAAACTTCCTTTTTGCAGACTGTGAGGATTTAATTATGGGTATTTACAGGGCCCTTTGAGATCCTCTGAATAAAGTGCAATTTTTAAAGATTTACAAAGTATTATTATGAATCTGATGTCAATTCCCAACATGCCTCAATTTAATACTAATCCCAGCAGAATCCTCTAATCAAAT